TTCGTGAAAATTAACGTCCTGTCAAGGGTTGCCCAAAACCATTTCCTTACTTCATCATAATCTACTGAACTCTTCCAGGTTTTTCCATGTCCTGCGATCTCTCGCTAATCTCATCCATTGTCCCCCTGCCACCGTTCCGACATAGTCTTTCCATCTCTTTTTCGGTCGTCCCGCATTTCTTGTTGTTCCTTGTGGTCTCCAGAGTGCCGTTTTTTCGGTCCATCTATCTGGGTCCTCGCCACATGTCTGATCCATTGCCACTTCTGGCTTTCTACCCTTTTCACAACATCCATCACTTTGGTTCTATCACGTATCTGTTCATTTCGTATTTTATCCCTCAAGATGATTCCCAGCATTATCCTCTCCATGGCTCTCTGTGTGACTCTCAGTTGCTCAGCTGCTCTTCGGGTTATTGCCATAGTTTCTGAGCTGTAGGTGAGAACCGGCAGAATACAGCTGTCGTAGGCTTTCGTTTTTATGGGTACCTTTTTTTCTTTAAAAATAAAGTTCACGTTTCCGAATGCCACCTATGCCAAATGGATCCCGTGTTTGATTTCCGCCGTTTGGTTTTCTTTGCCCAGCTTGATTTTATGTCCTAAGTATATGTAATGTTTTACATTTTTTATGGTAATGTTGTCTTTGGTGATGTAATATTTATTTTTGCTCGTTATTTGGGTCTTCTTTAGGTTCATTCCTAGGCCTATTTTCTTGGATTGTTCGTTTAGCTCATTTAGCATGTTGTTCAGTTCTTGAATGTTGGTGTTCATCAAGACTATATTATATCATCTGCAAATCTGAGGTGATTGAAGTATACTCCATCGATGTTAAGGCCCTTGTTTTCCCATTCCAGCTTCTTAAAAACATTCTCCAGTGCCAGGGTAAATAGCTTGGGAGAGATAGTGTCCCCCTGTCCGTACTCCTTTGCCAAGTGATATTTTGTCTGTTTTAAGATCGTTGTCTATTCTTAGGTGAAAGCTTGCCTTATCATAGATATTCTTTATAAGAGTAGAGTATCTCGAATCGATTCTTGCGTCCTTTATTGCCGCTAGAAAAGACCAGGTTTCAACACTGTCAAAGGCTTTCTGGTAGTCCACAAACGACAGATGTAGGGGCATGTTATATTCCGTTGTTTTCTCGATGACTGCTTTAATTGTTTGCAGATGGTCTGTAGTGCTAAAGCCCCTTCGAAAGCCTGCTTGCTAATATTATGCGGTCTGCGAAAAAATATGCGAACTAATATTTCTATCACTCTCTATTCCATTTTAACTGTCTCCTTCCATATCGTTTTTACCTCCCCTTTCCCCAAAAAGCTTTTTTCTAGTGGCGGAAAATACCACAGAACTACTCCATTATCTCTTGCATAATTTATGGCTAATGAATAGTGTCAGTCTAAAAGCACAAGCAAGTTGTTTAAATTATTCAAAACATATTTCCATTCTGTCCATCCCTTTTGAATCGGCTCCACACAAGCTCCAGGCTCAGAGCAATCCAGAAATCCCTGTTGGGTACATTCTCCTACACGGGTAAATTAAAATTGGAGGTATGTCGAACAGAAACATAATTTTTCAGGAACTAACTCGCCTCTCTCTTCTGATGCGTTTGATTTTAACTGCTATAATTTCAGCAGCATCTTCGGGTTTCGCACTGACGCTTGTTTCATTAACGTTGTATAGCAGCAGCAATCTTGCTTAATTCTCCTCTGCGCTGACCTGTAGTAGCTTCTGGTATTGATATATCTGGATGTCTCCTCAGAATGCCCTGCATCCAACCTTTTTCTACAATTTAAGCAATTTCATTAAAATATATAGTAATTTAAATCCACTAACTGAAATATCGCTCTTCCATAATTAGGTTTCAAGCTATTCCCAATTTCTTGTTCTACTCCTGAAAAAACCGGTTTATACCATACCTCGCCCAAGTTTTTGAAATAAACTCAACCTGATCTTCCTTCGTGTTGTTTTAGACTTTGGTTGTACCCTTTTTGAAAACTGATATAGGTACCTACTATACAGGGTGTCCCAAAAAGATACCGACAAACTTTAAGGGGTAGTAGGGGACATCAAAACAAGCATTTTTGTTTATATAAACATATGTCCGCAAATGAGCCATTTGGACTGTCGAGCAAAAAAACTGTTTGATACTTTTTTTCTTCGCAATGATTAAATCACTGTTTACTTAATAATTTTGCTTTATTATCAAATAAATTATGATTTGGAATAATTGTTCAAAATGTTGACCATTTACTTCAATGCAAAGATTACACCGTCGGGTCATTGACTGAAAAGTTTAGTCTACGAAACACCTGTTCGTAATGAGGAAGATCTGATAGCAAGGATACTGGCGAGTTGTACCCATGTAGAAGCTATTCCTGGAATATTCCTAAGAGTTCGCAAGTTGAAAAATTATTGTAAACCATAATTTATTTGCTATTAAAGCAAAATTAATAAGTAAACAGTGATTTAATTATTGCGAAGAATAAAACTAGATACCAAACAGTTTTTTTGCTCTACAGCCCAAATGGCTCATTTGCGGACATATGTTTATATAAACTAAAATGCTTATTATGATGTCCCCTACTACCCCTTAAAGTTTGTCGGTATCTTTTTGGGACACCCTGTATATAGGTTTCAATTATATTTTTCGACTTTACTGCCATCGTAAATTATCTACCGGATCGAACTACATCTGCCATTCTTCAGGTCCCAAAATACATAAAATAAAACAAATGCGCCCTGGGGGCGGACTTCACCTAAACGTCTTATTTCTTTAAACGGTGTATTGTTTTTTTCAAAATAAAACATAGGACATTCATGTGGCAAGTAAACTATCAACGGCCGGCTCTGCTTGGAAAGGTTTTAAATTTATGAGCCTGGGGTTCGGCATTGAGGTTTGATTGCAGTCAAACTGTCAGCGAAATATTTTGAGATATTCTGTATATTATAGGATTATAGGTATATAATATGTATATATGAACAAGAAGTCTATTCTCAAGCCGCCTAGTAGAAACTCACATAGTGCGTGGCATACGGCACAAATTGATATGAGCGTGAATTTTCTCGTAAGTAATTGACTTTGCAAGCCCCAATTACTAACATATAAAAGGGCTTGAAGCATTGGGGTTTCAAGTCCTCAAAGTGCTTCAAGCACTTTCAAGCACTTTCGCAAGCACAAAGCACTCAAACCCTGCCCAGCTCTGATCACGAGTTAAATATTCAATGTTTTTTTTTGTTTTGAAAAAGTGCCTACAACTTGAGACCTGATGGTTAAAATGAGAAAAAATAGTCGTGTTGTACTTTCGCCCATAACTACTTTTGCAATTTAAAATTTATTTTCAAGCCGGCTGCTTTCTCCACTCCTGGAAAGATTTTGCTCAAAATTGATCATGTGTTACTAAGCGCGCGGGTGGTCCATATCTACCGTATACCAAAATATTGGGGATCGAAAAAAAGTGAATAACATGTTTACTACATTCATAAATTAGTTTCTTACATACAGGGTGGCTCAACAACTGGTGGTGACCCCCAAAGCTATGTTTTTTTTTTCAAATGACTCCCCTGTATGTTTCTACATTTTCAAATTTCGACTTTTATTTCCAGTAAATTCTCTTAATTCCTTTACCTGTCTCCAGCAGTTAATGAGAAAAAAATTTATATTCAAATTTTTAGGCCAAAAAATTATTGGAAAAAGTTGCGATTTCTCGCTTGTTTAAAATATAAACAGGGTGGCGAAAATCTAATGATTTAGAACTCTAGGGAAAACTTGGTTATAACAACTGGGTTGCATAGTTTATTAGTATCACATTGGAATGGACCACCGCGCGCTTAGTATAGTTACACAAAGAAACGCCGAAGTTTTATGCTCAGATCACTTTTTTTCTTGACGTTAGGAGACATTTTGAATAAAACAATACTTCCATTTACTCTCTGATGTGGAAGTAAAAAGTGCTCAGACCTTGAAACGACAATCAAAAAGTGCTAAAACAACTTTCATACATTTTAACCATAAAGTGTGAAAAAAAACCATACCGGGATCATTATAAAAGATGTAACAATAATTGCGGGCTTTATGCGTTTTCAGTGTTTTTCAGTTTTTCAATAAAATAGAAACATCAACAAAAGGTTCGTTACGGAAACTTTTTTTTTCTTTTCAATAAACCCACCAAAAATTTCAGATCATTTGGGAAAAATACACTGAAGTTTTTTTTAATTGTTTTTTTTGGGAAAAATCCCACTGTCTGCCGGGGTGGAATCCTGCTTTTTTCTATGCATCTTGATCTAGGTTTAAGTTTATGGTTAGGTACCTACTCAATTACATACGTGATTTGTCGTTTTGTCGCTACTATAACTATAGAGCAAAATCACGAATATCTCTATTGAATTTCTTTATATGAGCCCGAAAGTGGAAGAAAGCAATTTTTCAGATTCTGCGTACCTATCTTGGGTAGTATCTCGTTTCGTGCATAAATCGGCACGGCATTAGGTGCGCAAACATTTGCAAAAGTCACATACATTATTGAATAACATTAAAAATGCCAGACAGATAGGATTGCGACGGGCTTGCAACTTTTTGTGTGAATACTTATTGATTTAATTTGGGGTGACTGTCCTAAAATCGGATTTTGAAGTGCAAAATTGTGCAAAAATAATATCAGTACAGGTAAAGCAACGCAGATTGTAGTTTTTCTGTCTGGTAGAAGCACCCCATGTATCCTACACAAATCAATTTACTATACAAACCCTATTTTCTGACCATTTTTTCTCTATTTGTCATTTGCCTACAAATATTGCAAATTCAACATTAAAAAAGAAAACTATTTAAAAAAATACTCCTGTACTTATTGCATTGCATTTCAACTATGGCACTTGTCTACCATTATTTACGAATTATACTACTTTCTTGACCTCGGTCTTGACTATGCAATAATGTGTAGTTATATTTTTTTAGATACAGTCTATTTACAATAAATTACAATTATGGCATTTATATTATTATTGTTTCAGGGAATTATTGATGAAAACCCAAATCCAAACGAAGTCATTGAGTAAGTATTGAAATGAAATGATTACTTATTATTATTCGATCAAAACACCATTTAGATTTAATTGAATAAATAATTTTAAGTTTATTTAATGCGCATATTGGCTGATTAATTTTTTTGTTAACTGATAGTGATAAACTTTTGGAGGTTACTTTAAACATATTTCATTGAGACGTATAAATAAAGTGTAGCTTTTACTATACATCTGTTTTTTTTGCTACATCAAAGCTGAATATGTTTATCTCAAAAAACTTAAGCAAAAGCATTTGCTTCTGTTTTATTCATATGAGCCATTATATCCTTAGAACCCAATTTTGCAATCATTTTGTGTGTATATCTACCTAGTCTTGGAAAAACTATGTGACAATATATAAAAATAATGATAACCTAAAGATGGGTTTCTCTGGAATTTGCAGGTACAAATTAAATGCGCGGGTCAAAATAACCCTTGTCATAACATGTCATGGCTTTATTTTTACTTAAAAGACCCTAGACTTACCAGGGTTAATAAGCGGAGAACAAAATAAAGAAAACATACAAATGGCATTTCTCATTAAATTTGGTTACCCACTTGGCCTTGACCAGCATATTTCAAGCTAAATCTGCAGTGGATTTTATTTTACGAGTCGAGTCGAATTGTCTTTTATGAGTCTAGGTTATGACACTCGATATCGAATACGACAGCTCCGGACCAAGTAACGTATTGAAAAATAGGATCGCTATTTAGACAATCCGATACGATTTTTGACTCGAATCGTAAAATAGAATCCGGCTGCCGATATGTAGGTATACGAAAATTAATAAAGGGAAACTTGATAAGGAGTGAATCATACTAATCCATCATATCCAAAATCGATTACATTGGCATTATTATACTATAAACTTTTTTAATATAGGTAAAACACAATATATTGACCATTTCCATTTCTATTTCCACGTGCCTACTCTGGCTAGTATTAGATTTTAGATTGATCACCTTTGTTTATATTTATATAAGGCCACTTCAAGGAAGTAGGTAACACAATAAATAGGGATAAGCGAAAAAAATAATTTGTGGGTAATTTCCAATGTTTTTATCTAGGCAGCTGACATCACAAATATTGCATGCCTCTTTTGTTTTGTCTAAGCTTATTTGTTTATAATTTATTCTAAATCAAGGCAAAGTGTGATGTAGAACTACGTATGCATAACGTTTTGTTTTGTGGTCATCAAATATTTATAATTTAAATTGGTAATTATTGTTCCTTTTGAGGTTCTTGGTGCCTCTAGTTTGACAGTAAATTCATGGTTACCGTCTGTTTGACGGGTTCGCCTGGTAGGTGCTACTCTCGGTGGAATCATACGTGCCAACTCTTCAGAGCATTTTCCGTGATAGTACCTGTAGAAGAGAGATAAATCGCCCACAGATCTGCGATGTTCGAGACCATCCAAGTTACGAGTAAGTGCGGGGTCATTGATCAGCTTGATAGCTCGTTTTTGCACGGTATTCAAAAGCATTAAGGTATGTTTGGGTGCTGCACTCCATATATGTGAGCAGTACTCCATAGTTGGTCGAATCTGGGCTTTGTAGAGTGTCAGCAATTGGCTTGGTGTGTACAGATGTCTTGTACGAAATAGCACCCCCAGCTTTTGGGAGGCCCTTTTAGCAATATCTGCCACGTGACTGTGCCAAGACATGTTGGTCTCTGCAGTAACCCCCAAGATGTTCAACTAACTCTGTAATGTGACAGCACTTCCAGATAGCATGATGTTTGGCTCACCGGTGCTGGTCTTTTTTGAAAACAGAGCTGCTTGGGTTTTCTGCGCGTTGAACTGTACAAGGTTTTTGTTACCCCAGTCCTCTATTATCTCCAGGTCGTTATTTATCTGCGATATTTGAGTTAGTTTAAGATGATGGAATTCACGTGCGGAAAGACCTGTGGGTGGTATGAGTGAGGAGACTACATTGCCATCGTCTGCAAAGCAATAAAGTGGATTTACTGTTTTATCTATGAGGTCATTTATGTAAATCAGGAAAAGAGTTGGCGAAAGGATTGCTCCCTGTGGCACACCAGCATTTATTTGGTAAGAGTTGGAGTTCTGGCCATCCAGTGCAACATAAATGGATCTGTCCTTTAGGTAACTTTCAAACCAAGTGCAAAGTTTCGGCGATAATCCCATTGCTTTGAGCTTGTTGAGCAGATTTTCATGCCAAACTTTGTCGAATGCTTTAGATATATCTAAGGCAATTGTTCTTGTTTCACCCCGCAACTCAATCGCTTTTTGCCATAAGTGAGTGACGTATGTAAGTAAATCGCCAGTTGACCTATATTTTCGAAATCCGTATTGCTTATCGTTGATAATTTTGTACTTTTCCAAGTACTTGGTTAGGTGATTGTTCACAACTCTTTCCATTACTTTTGATATCACCGGAAGTAGAGCAATTGGTCTATAGTTTAACGGATCTGTCTTTTTTCCTTTCTTTGGAATGGGTTGTACTGCTGCAGACTTCCATGATGATGGATATACTCCTCGCCTGTAAGACAAATTGAATAATTTTGCGAAAGTTGGGGTGAGTTCGTTGGCGCAATTTTTGAGTACTATTGCGGGAATGCCATCCGGACCCATTGCTTTGTTTGTATCCAGCTTTTTTAGGGATTTTCGTATTTCTCTGTGACAAAAGGGTACCTCTGGCATACTATGGGAAACCCTTTCAATGAACGGTGGAGTTTTTCCGTTTGGCACTGTTAGGTTGGAGTTGGAGGAAAACATTTGGGCAAGCATATTGGCTTTTTCCTCTGATGTTGTGGCTAAGTGATTATTTTTATCTGTAAGTGGTGGTATGGATGACTTGGTGAAGTTAGATCCAACAGCTTTTGCAAGAGACCAAAAAGACCTAGAACTACTTGGACAATTCAGCAACCTGTTTTTTATTCTTTGATTGTATGTTTCTTTAGCGGAGTCAATAGTAATTTTGCAACTATTTCTGGCTTCTATAAATTCTGTGTGGTTTTGAGCGGTTTGTTGTCGTTTCCAAAGGTTATATGCTCTGTGTTTTTTCTGTACAGCCGTTTGACACTGGCTGTTGAACCAAGGTTTTGCATTAGCTCTACGTTTAGTTGTATGTGGGATATATGCGTCCATTCCAGATAAGATTACTTGTGTTATTTCATTACAGCAAATAGTGGGATCAGCTGTTTTAAAGCAAACCTCTTGCCATGGAAAATCCAGGTAATACTGTTTTAGGTCATTCCATTTTGCCGATTTATAGTGCCACATTTTACGAGGAAGTGGTTGTAGGCTTGGTGGGATGAGCATTTCGCACTTTGTTATTATAAGTTTATGATCGGACGAACCAAGTGGAGCATCTACTTGAATTGTGTACGAGTCAGGATTGGTGGTTAGGAACAAGTCTAAAAGCGCTGCAAATTCGCCCCTTTCTGAGATACGGGTAGGTTCATCGACAAGCTGCGTTAGACCACAACTTATGGCAAAAGCTTCTGCTTCTCTGCCTTCGTTATGTGTTTTGTTGTGGTGTTTCAGCCAGGGTATATTGTGGGCGTTGAAATCGCCTAAAAAGACAATTTCCGCCTGTGGATAGTTTGACTGTATACTATCACAGCTTTCGGATAATGTCGTGAAAAAGTTTTGGTAATCGGTGTTACTTGGCGGTCGGTAGAGGCAGCAGATAAACTTGGTCGATGACTTTGAGGTGAATTTTAGCCATATGATATCAAGGTTCGCTGGTTCTAGCTTCTCCTCTCGATGACATGAAAGGTCATTTTTAATGTACACACAGATCCCAAAATTATGTCGAAATCGGTGGTGTAGGTCATAGCCGGGATAAAGATAGTTCACAATAGGTGTTGCAGAACTGATTTTAGTTTCAGTGAGAACAAGGATGTCAGGTCTTTGTTCTTCAAGATGTTGGTGAACTGAATTCATATTTGTACTTATTCCTCTTATATTGCTAAAATCAATTCTGAGTTGAGTTTTTGATCTTCTCTTTATATCTTTGCATGAAGGACCCCCAGGATCCTTGCTACCTGGGTTAAAAAAAAAATAAATAAAGAAAGGGGCTTTTGCTCAAATAAACCTGACAGGGGCAAATTTATAAATGGCAGATATATTTGTTATAATTCATCAAGAAAGTCCAATACAAAAATAAATTACCTAATTATTTTTAATATTATTATTTAATATTTTTAATACTACCTACGAAACATAATTGAATATACCTCTACCCTAGTTAGGAAAATTATCAAGAAGTACCTGGAATTATTGGGGAAGCACTAAAAATCATGCTGCCAATAAGGAATTTCTTAAAGTACTGTAGCATTGGGAAGTACTAGTGAGTCATAGGGAATCACTGGGAAATACAATAAATACTAATACCTAAATAATAATCAGAATTAATGCTTTTATTGTCACAAAGTTAAATCAAATACATATAATTCTTAGTAATAACAGAGTTAACGAATTTACTGATAACTAAGAAAATATCAAGTTCCTACAGTCTACTAATTGCTCAGTAGGAAGTGCGCTCTTCCACTCAGGCCTCCGGAAGCTGCACTGGCGCACTTTAGTTGGTGTTAAATGTCTGTGTCAATATTTGTCGCATTTGTGGAAAGATGACTGCCGAGGTATATGAAGTATTCTATATTTTCCTGAGGTGCTCCATTGATAATTAGAGCTGGACCTGGTGCAGTAGTATTTGGGGCAGGCCTGCATAGGATTTTTGTTTCATCCGGTAATTACAGTGCGTTGTCATGATTTCTCCCAGCTCTAGCTAGAAGTGATATTCCTTCGTGATATCCACACTGTGCGACACAGAACGGTGACAATTATTGCAACTAGTGACAATGGCGCGGTGTCTCGCAGATCTGTGAGAATTGTCTCGGTGTTCCGTTTTTTGGTATCATTGGTATCATTCTTGAGTTGGTTAAAAAAATTCAAGCTTTCCCATCGGAAGTAAATAGAACCTGAGTCCCGTCTCTAGGTCTAAGTAGATTTTGATCTTTTGT